GAAGAGGAGACAAAGGGAGACATGAGCCAGCCGGCAGACACAGCAGCATGGGGTGGCCCGGAAGGAGGAGGGCAGCCCAGAGCTGACTCTAAGGTAATACCCCACAGGCTCACTACTGTCTGATTGGCTAAAAGCACCTGAACAGCTGACAGGCTGTCCCCTGGTGGCACCAGGGGCATCTCTCAATTGCAAATCGGATCCTATCACTGTTGCACCATGGGGGAAGGCACACAGCTGCCCTTTGGTCCCTGGTTTCTGGCTGTAGTGCGGGGGGCACTGAACTGTGTTCCTTCCCCTGCTACCTGGCCATGGTCTCACTGGAAGGGGCACCCTTCCTGACCACCCTCTCACATGACCTCCTCCTGTGTGCCAGGAAGCCACACAGCATCTCCCTCCCATTAAGTCCCTCAGCCTCAGCCCAGCTAGACTCACAGCAAGGGGCCTCACTACTCAAGTGCTGAAGGAAGTAGCAAAAGCAGGCATGGGATCCTGGGCCAGTGCTGCCAACTTCAGGAGATCCGTGGGGACAGGACTCAGGTAAGTGAACCCAGTAGCCACAAACTCCCAGCTTGCTGTTGGCCATGACCTAGAACCACCGTGCCCAGCGCCTGGGTGCCCTGGTGACAAAATCTCACCCTGGAAGTGCCCACACGATGGAGGCTAATCACCATTTGGGCTGTTGGCTGCCAGCAGTGGAAGAAACAGAGCCTCTGCATACCAGAGTGGCAAGGTCTCCCCATGGAAGAGCCCTACAGGAGAAAGACTCTTGGGGAGGACAGTATCCAGACCCTTATGTCACAAACAGGGAGACTGAGGCACAAGTCCTTAAGGGGCTTGCACATAGCTACCCAACCACAAGGTGCCTGGTCCCATGAACCCTGCCAGGAATCATGGGGAGGGAGGGACCAACCTGTCCCCATGCTGCTGTTCTCACCCATGGGCAGTGGAGGACAAGAGTCTCTCCCAAAGGCCGCCCTTCCCCAGGCATACACGCCCAAAGCCTTTTGTCAGCCATGGGAGAGGTGGGTCACCATGGAAACCTCAGGACTCTGGGCTGCAGACGGCTGGCTTTCCGTAGACCTTACCATGGCTCCCGCAGCTCCGGCTCCCCAGGCCCCCAGCCATGAAGCAGGTGCACCCTGGTGATGGAGATGTCCCGACCCGTGGGAGCTACACTGCGGAGGAGGCCTCTGATGACTGGCATGTGGGGTTGAATCTCTAATTAAAACATGTGCCAGGTGCCACTCAGAAGAGATCAGCCCTGAGCTGAGGTCTTCACCCCTGCAGCTTCCCAGGTCTCTTCTGCAGGAGCCATGACATACGCCCTTAATAGTTCTCTCCACCTGCACCCAGGAAACATGGCCTTCACACTGGGCATAGGCACTGGGCTCCACTGTGGTGATCATCAGGCCCACGGTGCTTCACCCAGTGTCCTGCCATGGTCACCCAAGTGGTGTTAGAATGTCCCTTCTGGGCCTCATCCCCAGCCTATTAACAACAGCTCTCAGACAGGCACCCCAGCTAGGTAGTTTTCAAAAGCTCCACCCAGGTTCCAATGTGTACCCATGCTGGGAACACCCCACTCTGCTCTTTGTACAGATGGAGAAACTGAGGCTCCCAGAGGTGAGGGGACTCACCGAAGACCGTGGTCAAGAGGAGCTTCCAGGCTAGGTCTTCTCTGGCTCATCTTGCAAAATGGCCCAGAAAAGGGAAGGCAAGTGGCTCTGGGCATCCAGAGGCAGAGAAGAGGGAATACTTCAGAGAGCAGTGCCAGGGGCCAGGGCCAGGGCCAGGGCAGGGCAGGGCAATTGCCCTCCTGGAAGCAGCAGAAGATGCAGGACTTCAGTGAAGGCAGGCACAGGTAGCTGCAGCTCCAGACACCCCGAGGAAGCCCCAGGAGACTCTGAGAGCACTACAGTGAGGCCCTGGGAGGAAAGGACACCCAGGGAACAGCACTGCCTCTCAGGAAACTCTGAACTCCAGCCACAGCCCCTCCAACTCTGACAGGTGGATGTGAGAGCCCTAAAGGATGTGAGCTGAATAGCCTAGAAGGAGAAAGAACTGACAGAGCCCCATGGGAGGGCCAGGGCTGCTGCAGGAGACATGGGCCACTGCAGATTGCGGGAACCCTGAAAGTTGGGCATTGTGCATGCCTGTAATTCCTCTCAAGAGCCTGAGTGGGAGGGCTGCCATGAGTTTGAGGCCAGCCTGGGCTACATAGCGAGACCTTGTCGCAAACAAACAAAACTCCAGCGGAAGGAACCCTAGAAGACTCCAGCCCCCCACATGTAGTTTTGTTCATGCAAACTCACTGCTAAAAATCACATCTGTTACCCATGAGTGTCAGGGGCTTGGTTCCAGGCCAGGTCTTTATGACCTATAAAAATAACAAAAGAACCAAAGCAAGAGTTTGTGCCAAGGGAAAGAAGCCACTGAACAAGGGGGAGAATGACATGGCTCCTTCCTCCTCCTCCTCCTCCTCCTCCTCCTCATCTTGGCAGAGCGTGTGCATTCCTGGACCCATGTGCCCACTGTGTGCATGTGTGTATTTGGGTCCCATATGTGTGCCTGCACATGTATGTGTTGGTGTTTGTATGTATGTGGGGGGTGCACACCATGCCTGTGTTGTGTGAGTGGCATATGCATGTGTGTACATTTATGTGACAAGTGTACATGTGTATGTGTGCATATGCATGCTCATGTCTGTACATGCTAGGCGCCCATGCATTCATGTGTGCGAGAGTGTGGGTGTGTGCAGAACCTCAGATGACCTACAGGCTGCATTTGGGAGGAGAAGGGGATTGGAAAGCCCAGGAAGCCCTTGACAATAGTGGATTAAACATGTAGTTTGGGCCCATCTCCAGTGACCTCCAGGTCCGTGGCTGAGACAATTTAGTTTTGCTGGTGCAAAACTGTCAGTGCGGGCTGGGCTCACAGGCCTCCCACAGATACAGCTCCTTCTGGAAAACGGCCTCAAAAGAACTCCGTCTGTGAGCACCAGCAGTGGAAAGAAAGATGAAGATAGCTGAGAACATGTTGGCATTGCCAGAAAAAGGGTGAGTAGATGCGAGTGCAGAGTCCGAGCTGCCTCGCTCGTCCGCAGCTCCTGAGGCCCACGCTGTGCTGTGGTCAGAGAGAGCTGGCGGAGCAGCTGCAGGCCGCCCATGTGGGTTGGGGGCTGGGCCGGGACCATGTGGCCCTGACCTTGTGTGGCTCCTTCCCGAGCAACAGCCCTGCACCCTTGACTCTGCAGACCCTGCCTGCTTTCCACGCCAGCCAGGGTTGCCAGCACCTGTGTGCATCCAAACACTTGAGGGGAGTTGGGGGAGCCACCAATAGGCGTATGAAAATTATTAATAATCTTGTCATGGCTCATCTGTATTGAAAGCTGATGATATGCCTGGTGCTGAGCTGGGCGTTTATATTAAGCATAATTACATTTCTGTTAAGTGGAGTAATGCCATTCTCCGCCTCCAGGAAGCACTTCTTGGTAAAACTCTGTGAAGCCTTCACAGGCAGCTCAGATCGTCACCGCCTCAGAAGCTTCCTGTCATGTCACCTATTATGCCCCAACTATAGGGCCCAGGACTATGGGTGTCCACTCCCTCCCAGAGGCAGGACCCTTTACCTGGGCCCTCGGGGAAGGGTTTGTGGAGTGAACACTAGCTGTCCCATGGGCCCCTCCCTCCAGTCTCCCTGAGCCCCACTGCCCCTCCCAGGAGCACAGCAGTCTCCACTCAGCTCAATGTGATAAATACAGATCCCAGCTTTCTGCTTCCGGTGTAATTTCTTAGGAAAACACTGGAGGCTGACAATGTGCTCTCTGGGGACTGGTCCTGTCCTCAGCAGGCCATACTGCAGGAAGCCAACAGCCCTGGAAGGCAAGTCAGAGGCTCCTGCAGCACCCCGCCTCCTCCAGGAAAGTGACCATACTTGCTCAGGCTGCAGGCTGTCTCCCCTTGGCAGCCACCTCCCCCACCACCACCAACCCCAATCTACATGAATCCATCAGGAATAAGACATGGCTGCCCAGAGCTGCCAACTGTCCCAGCAGAGTCCTGAGGGCCACAGACCAGGTGCCCACCCTCCCAGCACCCTGCGGGGCAGCATTCCCGCACCACACAGCATCCTGGACAACTGCAGACCCCACACCTCTCAAATCTGCCCTATGAGTGCCAGGCCAGGCCCTGAAAGGCTCAAGCCCTTGAGCTAATAGGAGGGGAGCCCAGGAGGATTTTGCCATGAGCTGTGCTCGGTCTTGGCCAAGACTGCATCCCAGGCAGAGAATCCGGAAGCATCAGTGTGTTGAGGGGACACTAGCTATGTTTACAAAAGCCGCGGGATCCGTGTCCTATACCAGCCTTCCACGGACACCAGGACCCAGTGGGCAGAGGCCGTCCTTCCCATGACCCCTCCAGTGGGTGAGGAACCCCACAGGCAGGATGGCCTGTCTGCTCAGGGAACAGAGTACCCTGGGAAGCATCTTTCTCAGGGAGCCCCACCCCCAGGGCACACTTCCTGCCCAAGAAGCACCCCCAACCGTGACTTGTCCAGGTGAAGCTGCAACAGAACAGACATGGCTGCAGAACAGTCAGGGCGTCATGTGTGCTGGGAGCGCTAGGCAGCACCCCTACCCACTCACCAGGCGCAAGTCACACCCCACCCTGCCAGCCTGCTGGGTTCTCTCCACACAAGGTCCTACTAAGTTGAGTGGCCTGGTTTGGACTCTGATTGTGTCTCAGCCTCCTGAGGAGATAGGACCTGACTCCTCCACCGCACTTATCAAGCAAAAATTACTCTGGACATCGCCAAGGTCCCTGACACAGAGGGGGGTATCTGCTTCCCACCCCCAAGGCCCTGAAGGGCCAGGCTGGACACTGTGCAACCCACCACAATGGGGAGGAAACCCAGGTATCCCCAGTCTCTAGATGGAGACAGTTCAGTGCTGCCTGCCTCAGTGCAGCAGCACCCCCACAACAGCCCACACCAGCTCCAGAGCATACAAATCCACTTTAATGCACAGGTACAGAAGTTGGGGGCCGGGCAGAGGGGAGGGAGGAGCAGACAGCACCCCCTGGACAAGGCCCTGGGTCTGCTCTGAGGGTCCACACAGGGAGTGGAGCAGGGGACAGAAATGGGGTTGCAGGAGCAGGTGTGGAGAGCCTGTATACGTGTGTGTACACTGGGTCACAGGGCCTCATTGCTGCTTGAACTGGGGCTGGGTGCAGAATGCAGGATGGGGCACCTCCCTTGGTGTGCATCCCCAGTGCAGGTCTGCTCTACTCTGCCCCGTGCAGCCCACAGCAGGAGGAAGCCAGGCTGGTGGCTCAGCTCTGTGGGCCTCAGAAATACTCCGGAGATACCATGTGGCCTCTCGAACCCTAAACTCAGCATCTTTAGGGTTCTCTGACAAGAGCTGTGGCCCTTTGGGTTGACATGGGCTACAGGCACAGAGCCACCAGGCCGGGCACATGGTGCCCACATCTGTCCTGGGGGCAGCCCGACCACCACTGTGCCTCCTTCCAACGGCCTTGCACAGACAGCACTGGTGGATGGGCGTGCCCCTCTCACTTCCTAGCATGGTGGGCACAGCATCACTGGTGCTCACTAAGCGCGTGAGGACCAATACTGTAAGGTCAGCCAGGCTCTTGCAGGGCGCTGTCTGTGCCGGCAACCTGGGGCCCTGGTCTGTGGAAAGCAGCTGGGATTGCTGACTGCACAGGAGGGAGCAGTCACTGGCCAAGACACTAGGCCTGCACCACGGAACTGGCCAGGGCCACCATGTCCACTGCCCTCAAGACAGGGTGCAGTCGCAAACACCTGGTGCCACTGTGGAGCAGAGGAACATGGGGGGGGGGGAGCTGCAGGACAAGTGGGGCAGAGGAGCAGGTAGAACATAGGCTCCTCAGGGACTGTAGATGAAGGGGTGCCAACGGTGGGCACTGCAGAGCTAGCAGCACCCCAGAGGCAACCCACCATGCCAGCCCTACCCAGGGAGAGTGCCTGTGACCGCCATCCAGGCACTTGCTCCAAAGGCTCTGCTGCAGCGAGAAGATGCCACCAATTTGGTCCCTGAAGCTCCCTGTGCCCTGGGCTCAGAGTCGCATCCTCCCTGGGGAAGCTGAGGCCAGCAGACAGAAGGAATGAGGAGACTGGGGGATAGGCAGGAAGGCAAAGGAACTCAAAGATCATAGCGCCTCAGGGGTCTCCCCTCTGAGGCAGGGGTCCAGATGGGGCTCCCGGCAGGGAACACAGGCAGCAGGCAGGCACCCCGGGCCCCTCTAAGGCTGCCTAAGTCCCTGAGTCCCCCGCATGCCGGGCTCACTGGACAGTGCATTTGTCCCTCTCACGGGTCTGGCCCTCCCGCAGGACCTTGGCCTTGATGTACTTGAGGTCACTGTTGACACTCGGCCGCCGGGCAAAGGGCGAGACCATGCCGTAGGCGTCCACACCCTTGCCGCGCCGCAGGCACAAGGGCCGGGTGTGGAAGGCGTCACCGTACTGGACAGAGATCTTGCGGTGCAGCGCGGGGCTCATCTCATGGGGCAGCTTGGCCATGCTGAAGAGCATGTAAAACATCTCGTCCACATTGGTGTTCTTCTTGGCTGACACCTCAAAGTAGGCACAGTGCTCGTCACCAGACACCAGCAGCTCGGCCTCAGAGCCAGGCACCTGGCGGCACAGCTCCCCGTGGTCGCTCTTGTTGCCACAGATCACCATGGGCAGCTCAGCTGCCTCCTTGGTCCTGTTCTTCAGGCAGGACTTGACCTCTAGGATCTGCTTCTGCAGCCGCTTGACCTCATCGAAGGACTCACGGCTGTCCAGGCTGAACACCAGGATGAAGACATCACCTGCCGGGAGAGCGGCATGAGTCCCACGCACCTCGGCCCAGGGACTAAGACAGAGAGTCACGCACCATGGGGCTCTCAGGGACCTGTTGTTGGCCTCCCTGTGTCCAAGGCGGGAATCAGGCTCCGAGCCTAGCGCCTTGGCCACACTCAAACATGCTCACCCTCACCATGCTTCTCGGGGCGCCAGAGGATGACATGGACGGGCACAGCCAGTGCTAGAACCGTATTTCACGCTCATGGGCCCCTGCGCCTGCTCTGGGAGTCCTGGCCTGCCACAGCCAGGCCCACTGCGGGACACACACGGCAGAGCACGCTCATAGCGCAGAGCCTCAGGTGGGCTGAATGCCCCACCAGGCCTCCCTTGCTCCATGTGGGTGATGACACGGACAGACCTGAACCCCAGCCTGCTGTGTGGCAGCGCCACTCTCATCTCTGCTCCAGGTGCACAACTTAGCCCTGGAAAGTCACACAGCTCAAATGGGGCTCAGCAGGGACTGCAACCCAACCCTGCCCTTGGCCGGCACGCAGCAGGTGCTGCCTGCCTCCTGAACACCTGAGGGACAAGGTGGTCACTCCCTACCTGGCCCGCCACATGCTCAGAGGCAGCATGTACCTCCATCCCAAAACCTAGATGATCACAACCCCATCTCGATGCCCTTTCCTTGCTTTGTCAAGCTCTTAAAATGTGATGGATCAGGATCCTTGTCTCGGAACCGGGGCCCAGTGGTGCTGCCACGGCCAAGTCTGCAGGAGAACCCAAGAAAACCCACCACCCCCCTGGTCCCCACACAGCACAGTGGTGTACAAGCTCCGGGGTGCACACACACTCCACTCCAGGCCCCCACAGCAGGCACTCGGGAGGCCGCTGTAACGTGGCACAGACAGCAGCCACATACACTGCTCCCAGAGTGTCAGGTCCCACTGTCCTGTCACGCTGGCCCTGGCCGTCAAATGTGAGACCCCATGGCCGTCGCCGACGGAGAGCTGGCTGAGGTGAGAACAGCCTCAGGGTCCCTGGCACCCAGCTCCAGGGCAGAAAGCAAGGCTGGGCTGGCGGCCGAACATGGCAAGAGCAGACAGATGTACTCGGAATGCACAGCACAGCACAGCCAGAGCCCTCAGCACCGGCAGGACACAAATCGGAATGCCAATGTGCCCACAAGGCTGGGAGGGCCGCAGCAGGCCCAGGGGAGGCTGCCTCGGTGAAGCAGAGTGGCAACGGGGGCAGGTGCGAGGGGCTCCAGCCTTACCTGTAGGTCGCATCCAGCACTGGCAACTAAAAGCCTGAGTGGGCTACGCGGCGCCTCCTCTCCTCCGCCCTGAGCACCCCCGGGCTGGGACAGCCCACCTACGCCATGCCCACCAGGTGCACGGGGCAGCGGGGACAGCCGGAGTCCAGCATATCTGCCTCCAGCCCACATGTAAGCAGCCAAGCAGCAGAGCCAGGACTGAAGCCCAGACCCACCAGGCTTCCTCCAGCCAAATCTCCCTCTCCAGACACAGATGCCCGAGAACAAAGGGACCGAGGAGCCTGAGTCCTAGGCAGGCTGAGGCAGTGTGGGCAGGCATGGGTTTCTAGGGACAGTGGTATCTGGTTTGGGATGCGTCAACGCTGAGGAGAATCACCTGTGTGCTGCCTTAGCTCTTCCAGGCCTAGAAGGGACCAGGGTGGAGTGGCAACAGCCACAGCAGGCGCCCCGGGAACACTGTGCAGCTCAGGACCAAGGCTCACGCTCGCCAGCACCTCCCAGGCGTTAGCTGAGCCCTACAGGCCCGGAACAGGATCCAGCGGAGGAAGCACAGACTCAACCACAAAGGCCCAAGCGTGCAGCTGGCTTGGACTGCGTCCGTCCAGACCCCTGGCGCACCCCACCCCCCGCCTCCCATCTGCTGTCTTTTCCTGTGCTCTCAGCAGGCTGGGAGGCTGCTGGAAACTCAGTGGAAAACAAGAGATCTGGCTGCCACCTCCCCACTGTGCTTCTGCCTAGAGAGAGCTCCTGCCTTCTGCCTCAGTTTCCCCATGCCATTGTGAACACCCAATAAATACACACTAAGCTCTAAGAACGAGGTCAGGCCCTCAGCCACACTGTTACTGCCAATACGGAGCACCTTCCCACCACGCCCCCAGGCCCCATTCTCTAGCCGTGGCCAAGGCCAAGGGCCCCCAGCTCTGCTGGGTCTTTCTGTAGAAGAAGCCACAAGCCCTCCATGCCCGTGGGTCAGCACCCCAAATTGTCAAGCACCAGCCTCAGCCCAGGCCAGCCCAGCCCAGCCACCACCTGTGAGGATGGACAGCCGGCGCATGGCAGGGAAGGGGTGGTTGCCCGAGGTGTCCAGGATGTCCAGCTGATACATGTCGCCGCGGATGTTGTACACCTTGCGGTGGAAGTCCTCGATAGTGGGTGTGTACTGGTCCTCGAAGCGGCCATTGAGGAAGCGTGAGACGATGGCACTCTTGCCCACACGCGAGGCACCCAGCACCACCATGCGGTAGGAGTTCTTGGCCGGCACGCTCAGCGCACAGTTACCACTGGACAGCGTCTTCATCATGGTGCGTGGCTGCAGCAAAGGGGGAGCCAGCGTCAGACACCCCATCCACCCCGGCCCCGCCCCTGCTATAGGCCTGGGCCTCCTTTCTACCACCTGGCCTCATTTCCACCTGTGAAATGGGGATGTGTAGCCCCAGCCACGCACTGACCCATACCTCCCCACCTGCTCACTCCTCTGCCTCCGTTTACCCACCCTTCATCCAGGGGTGCCCTGGTGGGTCTGGCTCCTGTGTAAGCACCAGGACCCCTACAAAGACTCTGCTAGCAGTAAAGGAACTGACTGCTGCCCTCATCTGAATTCCTGTCAGACTGGTGGCTCAGGGCAAGCCACGGGAAGGGTCCAGCCTGCATTCTAAACCAAGGGTGCTGTGGCCCTTCAGTGCTCCAGGAACGAGAAAAGGCTGTCTTGACCTTTGCCGCCCAATGTCCAGACTGCTCTTGTGGCCCAGGGAGGATGGACCCTGGCCAGAGAGGGCTCTGGCTGCCCAGGACCTGCCCCCAAGAGACCTGGGCCAGAGGATGCCTGCAGGATGCAGCCACAGACAACTCAGCCTCCCTTCCAGATGCAGAGAAGCCCAGACCTGGGGCGGGGGGCTTTGGTCCCCCAGAGAGGCCCAAGACAGATCTGAGCTCTGTACCCCCAGGGACATGAGCACGACCACTCAAGTGGAGACTGCTGGGCACAGTCTCCTGGCACGCAGCCACCTCTGCTCACCTTGCCTACAAACAGAAAGCTGCTCCCCAAACACCTTTTACGAGAGTGCTTGTCTGTGGTGAATGCTCCCACCACAGCCAGGTCCACAGAGCAACAGGGCCTCAATGAATGAACTGAGAGGGAGCCGGCCAACAGGCAGTTCACACACAGCTGGCTGCCAGCCTGGAATCAGAGCAGCAGGGTGACCGCTGATCAAGCCCTTAGCCAAGCATGTGTGCCAAGGTTGGTGCTAGATACAGAATAGTCATGGCAGCTGCAGCCCATTCTGTAGCTAACATACACTGCTGTCCACATATCACTCTGCCTGCCCTCAGTAACAGAAGCCAGGGACACATGGGTGATGCTACCTGTTCTTCTGGTCAGGACCAGAGAGCAGGGTGGACCCAGGCAGTCTGCATTGTGCTGTGGGCACAGCACCTCCCCTAGGTAGACCACCTCCATTTCTCAAATGAGGACGCTGACAATTATATGCTATGGGACTTGCCCACCTAGTCAATGAGAGGGACCATGGAAATCCCAAGCCTGAGGCCTCTACATTATGGGGACATAATGACACCAAGCACCATGAAGGTATCCCAAGGGACTGCAGCACCCTCTACACAGCAGATGCTCAGCAATTGACCCACGGGGGAAAAGAATGGCAAAGTCCCACTCTAGGACCTTCCACACTGGCCAGTTCATGTTGAGACAGGTCCCTAGGGAACCCTCAGGCCAGGGCTGGGCACAACTGGGGTGTGCAGGTGAGGGATCTAGGACTAGGAACAGTCACTGCCTCCTGTGTAGCTGGCTAGGCACCTTCAGAGAAGATGCAAAAAGAGGCCTCTCCCCCAAAATGCCTCTACAGGGAGCGGGATGCTGGGATCACTGTGTCCAGACCACAGAGGAGGGAGCCACATTGTCAGCACTGTTCTCAGCTCCCAGCCGGGAGCCCTGGGGCAGGCAGGCTAACACCAGGGTCAATGGACTTGAGGCCAGAGGGCGGAGGCAGGAATAAGCAATAAGAGCTGGAGTCAAAGTAGTTAGTGGAGACACAAGGGGAAATCCTTGTGTTCTGCAGATGGCCCTGCCCACGTGGGGCTGCACAGCACCTGGACAACAGGTGACAGCACTCCGTGGCACCAACCCCCACCCCACATCCTCCCGGAGAGAAGCCTGGGCTCTGTCTCTCCAAGTGCCTAGGCTGCAGACAGAACCGCATGCAAAACCCAGAAGCCCAGAGCAGAGAAACCACATTCAGTGCCCAATGAAGGCGCGAGCTGCTGACCACCCCCCGCTCTCCCCAAAGCAACCAGGAGGCAGAGACAGGGTGAGGCTGTCCCCAGAACAAGAGGTACCATGGGATCCAGCCCATGGCGCTATGTGTGCTGCACCTGTGTGTGCTGTTTCACCCCAGCTCATAGGGAGGGTCCACAAGGACCTCTCAACTGATGGGGATACTGAGGCTCAGAGAGGTCAAGTCGCTTCCTCAGCTCACAGAGCAGGTGACTGGCTGGCTGGGCTAGGACCAGCACCAAGCTGTCTGGCTCCAAAGCCAAGCTCCTGCCTCTGTGAAACCTCAGCCCCTGGCATGTGACTCCAAGGGCTCAGCTGCACTGGAGAGGGCAGTAGCCCAAGCGGGTCACACCCTCATCCCTTGCCCCCAGGTGGTCTGCCCAGGACTCTCCTGCCAATAGCTCTGATTCCCCTTTCACGCCCTCACTAGTCTCCAGGTCTACCTGAGAGCTGCACAAGTCAGACTGCAGGGCTGGGGACTTCGCAAAGCCCAGCTCCAGCCTCAGGGTGCTAGGAGCCCAAAGGACCAGCTCTACCCCTGAAACCAAAACCCCAAGACTCTCCTGGGCTGGGCCTTCCCTCTGCTGTGGGACAGCAGAAGCAAACTACAGGACAACATACTCGCACACACATGCACACACATGCACACAACCACCCACACACATCCACAGCCACATGAACGCATGTTGACACACGCAAGTAACAGCCTCGAGACCCTTGCTTTTAGCTGTCACGCGACTGCCTGAGGTGCAGCAGGTCCTGCAAAGGCTCCTCCGTCTCTGAGGCCAGGGGAGGCCTGGGTCCTGAGTTCCCACCTCCTGCTCCAGTGGGTGACATTCCCATCACCTCCCGCGGAGGGAGAAGGCAGAGGCCCCAGCTGAGCACAGTGTCTTGGAAAGGGGTCGCTCCCTCTGCATCTGTGAGACAGCAGCTCCTACCGGACCAAATCGGACCCCGGACAGCTGACCCCGGGAGGACGCGATCCCTTCTCCTGACAGCGTCCCATGAAGTGAGCTGGACCAGGACCCAAGCTCGGAGTTCTGGCGTCGCACCTACAGGGTCAAACCGGGAAGGCCCCACCCTAGGAAAGGGACGCGCTCCAGGCAGGATCTTCGAACTACAGCTGCGCAGCGACAGCCCACGCGACCCCAACTCCCCTACCCAATCGACCCGGCCTCCCTCCGGCCCGCCCAGGCGCGGCCTCTGCCTCGGTGCCCCTACCTGCGCCCGGCGCACACTCCGCGCAGCTCCGGCCGGGCACCCCGGCGTGCGCTGCGGCTCCGGGGTCCCGGCGCGGGGTCCGCCCTCGATGCGGGGCGTGGAGCATCCATGGGCACGCGCGGCGGGGCCCGGGCGCGGGACAGGGTCCGGCTCGCTGTCGCCGGCCTGGCCCGACCCGGTCCCCGCCCCAGGAGCCTCCTGCTGAGCCAGGGGCGCCGGCTGTCCAACCCAGCTTCCCACGGAGGGCCTGCGTTGGGCCTGGTGCCCACCCGCTCTACGGAGCAGAACTTTGGCGACAGCGAGGACGCGCGTCCCTCCCGCACCAGCGGCGCCCACCTGCCTCGGCCGCCCGCGAACCCGTCCCGCGCGGCGCCAGCGTCAGCGCTCCGCCAGCCGGTGCGGCCCCGCCCGCTCCCTGCCCCCGCCTCTCCCGGCCAATGAGCGGCGAGCTCCGGGCCGACCGAGTCCCTGTCGCCCCGCCCCGCCCACGCCCCCGGGGAGCTGCAGTCTGCTCTCCGCGTGCCCGAGTGCGGGGCGCGGGGCGCTGGGCGTGGGCCGGGGCCAGGGCGCGCACCTGGACTGGGAGGCACCGCGGAGGCCTCTGCCACGCACTGACAGCTCACCAGTCCAACTGTGAGGGGGCCTGCTGGATCCCCGACCCCTCCTCCTACCTGCCCGCCCTAGCCTTGCTGCCTTCCTGAGGTCTCCGCGAGCAGGACTCGGTGGCAGGGCACGTGGGCGACGCACGTGCAGCCCCGAGGCGCCCCGCAGTCACCTTGGCCCATGTGCCTGCGCGGAGGTCTGCGCACACTGCCAAGAGTGCTATGCAGAGATCTTGGTGGGGGACAGCTTCCTTTGTCCACGCGCGCGTGTTTGGGAGAAGCTGGCCTGCCTCTGAGCTGCACCCTGAACCCTCCCTCCTGCTCAGCGTGGGGTTGATTGGGGTCAGACATCAGGAGTTCCGGAGCTCCATCAACTGGCTACTAAGTATTTCCTTTAAATCCCAGACCCGCTTCCCCATCACACTTCCATCGTTAACATCACTGCTTTAAATTAACATAAATGCCTTAAATTACTGCCTTAATTGCCATAAATGGAAGGTAAGGGTAAAACCAGCACAAGGAAAACAAAGCAAGGTTATTAAGTTCTGGAACTGGGCCCTACTGGGAAGGGAGTGGGCATAGTTGGGAGAGGTAGACAGCCCCTTCACACCAGGCAGAGCCCAGTCCTCCTGTTAGGCTTGGGGGCAGGAAGACTTCTAGCTCAGAACCCACTGTGGAGACCCAAGTAGGCTAGCCTTTCTGACTGTCCAGCTCGCTCCTTTGGGTGAGAGAGTGGTTCAGGCCTTGCCTTATAACTGCTGTGTCTGACCCCACCCAGCCAAGAGAAGGTTCCGGTCAGCTGTGAGATGGGTAAGATGCCATGGATCTACAGGATGGCAAAACCCACTCAGATGACCCTGACTGCACAGAAAGCACCCTGCCCTGCCTGTCCTATGCCACCTCAGGGCTGTCCAGGGATGGTGGAGCTGTCCAGGTGTAAGAACCTGGTGTGTGGAAGACCAGGCCCTGCCTTGTATGATGGTGCCCTGAACGAGAAATTAGAGGGACTCAGAGCTATACCCTGGGCCACTGCCAGCAGTCTGTGCTGTCTAAGAGCTGGCTTCACCCAGAGCACTGAACTTGGTTTGCGCTGTGCAACTCAGGCAGACCCCAAACATGGCACTGGGAAGCAGGTAGAGTGGTAGCTCTCCCGTGGCCATTCTTCTTCCTGCCACACACTGGGCTCACAGCCCACTGGCCATACCCATCACAAGGACTGGGCAGTGACCCTGCCTCTGCCCGTCTCCTCTACCTCTCCTGGTGCAGGATGGCTCAGTCAGCAGTCAGGTGCACCCTGCACCCCATTTGTCTCCACATGGGCCATGTGCTGCAGTTGCTATGTCCTTCCTTGATGGCTGCCTGTTGTCTCCTCTCTCATAGCTCATGACCACTTAAACCTTTTTATACAAATGCCATCTCTGCTCATGAATTTCAAGAAAAGCGGGGGGGCAGCCAGATAGCTCGGCGGATTAAAGCGCCTGCGTAGGCAGAAGCAGGGACCAGGGTTTGATCACCCGTGTGCCACACAGAGCAGGGGTGCGCTCAGATGGCGACGAGGCTGGGCGTGCTGGCGCACACCTGTAATCCCAGCACGTGGGAGGCTGAAAACAGGAGGATCACTACAAGTCTAATCTGTGTAGTGCGATCCTGTAGACTCTACTAAATACATTTTTTTAAAAAATGGTTTTTTTCCATGTTTATCTTTTATTTGTCAATTATATAAATAATGTCAATACAATGAAATGCATAGTAAAATTCTAATTGCTTATCTCAGTCATTTATTTATTTTATTAATTTTATTGAGAAACAAATAGCAATGAGACAGTTTCAAAACAGGTTAGTAGGACAGTTACAATAACTAATACATCGCCTATTGTCTTAAGGGCTCCCTGTTGCTCAAGATATAAAATCTAACTCCTTCCAACCAAGACTTGATTCCCCTGTTCCCTGAGCCAGCCCACATTCTAAGTCCCTGAAGAAGCTGGACCCTTCCTCCTGCACATTTTGTGCCCCTCTATTTGGAACATCTTTTTCTTTATCCATCAAACTAATGCACACCCTTCAAAGCACGGTGATCACATTCTCTCCTCAAAAGCTTTCCCTCAGCCTTTCTAATGGTGTGAACCTCGTCCTCTGAGCTCCCAGGGCACTGGAAGCTGGTGCTTTTTCCTTGGTTACTTTGCCTGTAAAGTGAGCATAACAAGAGTAGCTACTTCATGGAATTTATGGGAGAAGTAAAATCACTGCCAAGCATCTCGCATGAAGTGGCCGTGAGTGTAGACCTCTCGAGCCCATTTCGCCATCCCCGTCAGCGTGGCAGCTCTGGGAGCAGAGCTGAGCCCAATTCCGGTTCACTTTCCCCTGTGGTGAAGGCCGTATCTCATGTGCTGTCCGTTTCCAATAAATACCAAATTGCTATTGAGAGGAGATGCACCTACCCTCCGTGGGAACAAAGGATGGGACTGTGAGGGACAGAGATTCCTTCCACCTTCCCAACAACCACTTACAGAAGAGACAACAGACTTGGAGGCAGCAGAGGAGAGCAGAGCTGGCAGAGAAATATAGCCTTTGACTGGGGTCCTGTCTGCTCCATGGCTGCTTTCCTGAATAGTCACTACCGTTCCTGGCGGAGCATTGGACTTGCCTCCTGACCTCCAGGCCTCCTGGCCTACTAGGCAGCTTTAGAAAGAAATACACCCATCCATGCCAAAGCAACCACCCCGAGCTGGGCCTGGGGGCCACATGGTGTGAAACTCCCAGGGATAGCAGTGTGCAGCCAGGTCTGCTCCATGCTGGTCCAGATTCATCCCTGGATTGATACACAGATGGATCTCTGCTCACCTCGCACTCAGTCAGAATTCCCCAGCCCAGAGAGAACGACTCAACAACGAGGAGACTAGAGGTATAGCAGCTCAGAGTTCCTAAGGCCTACCCTTCTTCTTTTGCAGATGTAACAGCTGTGGCTCAACCAGGTTTAGTGCCTGCTAGCAGCATTCCCTCTGTGAAAGGCACGCATCTCCAGTGGAACCATCCCCAACCAGGCCCAGGGACAGAGTCAGTATTGGGCCTCGGTGGGACTGAAGATATGCAGTGGCTGATGGGACCTGGCACCAGACTCTAGTTGTACAGGACCTGCAGCACCACAGGGCCACACAGATACCCCTGGGCAGAGTAGAAGGACAGAGGGAAGGTCAGCAGGAATAAGTCGAACCTGCATCCTCCTGTCCTCTGTACACATCCGCTTCCTGCCATTCCTTCCACCCTGGAAACCTCCCCATCCAAGAACCTCCACCTCAGCCAGGAATCTGGGTCCTGATTCACACAGACCAAAGAGCACTGCTAAAGTGGGCTGCCCAGCACCTCTGACCTTCATGGCCCAGCACTTCATGCTGTCGCCAAAACCCCGAGCCATCTCCCTGAGCTTGTGCAGCTCTCTCCACCCGACAGCCTCGGTTCACACAGAGCCTGTGTCTGGGACCCTCATCCCTGGGCCACCAATGGCTCCTGGTGTCCCTGCCTCCCAGCTGCCCCTCCTTGCTGTGGCTCAACCAGGTTTAGTGCAACTGGGATCTAACACTAAAGAGTCAGATACAAAGGACAATGCCACATGCCCCACTTCTGGACTTGCGATCTACACTCCTCACATCAAGAGTCAGTGCCCAAGTAGATTTGGGAAGTGGGGCTCTGCCGAGTGTCACAGAAGCCTTGATTGTTGGGAGTAGAAACAGTGCTGCGCAGTGAGCACCGAACAGGGCTCATGCTCATCCTGCCCTATCCAGCAGGATGTCAAGGTGGAGGGTGGCTGAGGCCCATCTTGCCGCACTCCTGAGCTGGGTGAATCCACCTCAGTACCCAGGTGCCTTCCAGCACAGAGGTAGTTTTATGCAAGTTAGAGTACGGTGCTGTCTTCGGGCAGGGGCAACTCTCCCACCTTGGGACTCACAGCTTAGGCAAGAAAAATGCAAGCTGGGTTTCCTCAGCTGAGTGCCCCTGAGTGCTATGTGACCTGCACAGCCATGCAAAGCAACCATCGTGACCTCATCTAGTCCCTGAAATGCACACAGTTCAGCAATGAGCAGCGACAGAAGGGTGTGAACATTACGAGATGGTAGAGCAGCCACACACAGCAGAGGGACACTAGACCAGGGGACTTAACCATTTGCAGAGCCCCCTCCCTGCAGGCACTGAGTGGTCCCTGTGACTGCAGTGTGGAGAAGCATCATTGGCTTCATTTGCAAGTGAATAAATTGACACTGAATGGACCCAACCCCACCAGGATATCTGGCAAGCAGGCAGAGGAGGCTGCCCCAGAACTCGCCTTGCCCATGGCTCTCAGTCACTATGACCACAGAGGCCCTGGCACAAGAGACAGGGCTGGGCCAGTTCCCATGACATGGGTAACAAAACCAAAGCTTATGGTCAGCCAGGGCCCTGCCCAAAGTCCCTGGCTGGCGACAGACAAGCCTCAGCTGAGAAATACCTGGGTCCTGTAACAATCAGCCCTCTGATCTTTCTGTGACACTACCCTGTCATCTTAAGGCTAGGCCTGAAGATGTGAAACAGGACCCTCATTTGTCCATCCACTCACCACCACCATTGCAGTTGCTGTTGCCGCCTCTGTCATGGCCGTCATCTTCATCACTATCACCATAACCGTCGTCACTCTCCACCATCTCCACCATCACCATC